CGCTCTTCTGGGTGCAGTTGTGTCTGACCATGCAGGCTCTTGAGCAAACTTGCTCCCAGCAACACTGTCTTGGCAGTGATCTGTTTGTTGAGAGACGAGGATGTGTCAAGCTAAGACTCACATCCGTTTTGATCCCCTTCTCACCAGAAACTATATTCTTGAACATCTGGCCAGCTACATTGAAATCTAGACCACACAAAGCCACGATTGAGATCATGCTGGACGCCGCTAAAACGGCTTTCGCATCTCTCTGGAAAGACCATAGAGCTCCAAGCTTGGAGATATGGTATAAAAAACTATGGAATCACTACTTGATGGACGCTGTAACAAACAAACTGAATCGCTTAGCACAATTCCCTATGAATGACACGTTTACTGACAAGTGGTTCCCTGTGATGGACTATTTGTCAAAGCAAGAATTTCTCTCCTCCGAGTGATCCCAATATCACCAGTGGATTTAAGTTTTTTGAATATCTTCTTCCTTTTATGTATCTATCTATATTTTCCTTTCTCCCATTAGTTTACTCTGGTCACTCTTCTTCTCTCTCTTCCTCTCTCTCTTCAATCTTCCTTCTCAACCTTCAAAACGTCAACGACAACGGCACATTAATTCACACAAATTCAAGCAAGCAATCTTGTGGAGCACATAATTAACAACTAAAAGAAATTGCAGTAGTATACAGTATACTATTCAACAAACCTACCTGTGGTCACACGTTATGAAACTGTTATAAGTTAATATATGTATTGATTATCTCATATTCAATGTTGAAAAGTTGATAGCTTTATTATAGTATGTATATTTTTGAATGTATTTGAACATACACTGAAAATAAAAAAATACATTATAAAAAAAAAAAGCGAAGACTATCCGTGTCAGAACTGACCCTCTTGGCACCAGTTCTGGTATTATACAGAATCCAAACAGCCCCTGTGACGATCAGTCCAATCACACCGATCCATCCAGCCCGCCTAAATCTACTATGCACCGTTAGGCCTCCCCCAACACCTGCAAGCTCAGTATCTAGCAGTGTCTGCCGTCCAGGGTCAAGCACGCATACTTCCCAGAGAAGGGAGACACCCCACCACCACTTAACGCCGTTGCAAGCTGGCGTGCTTTTTGCAAAGCAGCTTTCACACTCACACGCTTCTGGACGATAGGCACACAGAACCAAAGAACAGCAATAATTGTGGCAAACAAGAGCTGGGTTTCGCAGCGGGCTCTGGGGCACAAAAGCTTAGAAATGTGAATTTTATTGTAGCAGCTGATAGTTGAAAAGCACCTCTCTGCCTGCTTTTTCTTTCTGCAATACTTTGGATGCTTTTTCAGTTGTGTCCAAGGCACCAAAGTAGCACCCTGGGAAATGTAGTCTCCAACACACCTGCTGTGGAGACTTCCTTTCCCAGAGTGCACCTTTGCATCTGGGATAATACCAAGCCACTGACTCAGATTTTATCTGAGAAAACCCTTGAGCTTCAATGCTCGCTTTTGTGTTCCGAGCCTTTGATGCTCGCGCTCTGAGCTCAGGAACTGTGGCCAAAAGGGTTCCCTGAAGGTGGGCAGTTTGGTGTCTGCCTTCCCATTGCGCCGCTTGATGAGAGCTGAACCCTTGGTTCCAACAGCTCCCCGGCCGAAGCGTCGTCGTCTTGAAGCTGTGAAGAAGCTGGACTTTGGAGCAGAAGATTCGCCCAGGGCCCTTGAAGACTCACCCAAGGATGGAACTGCCTCGCCTCTTTTGCCAGGAGCCTCTTCTGAACTCCAGGAAGCCAGGTGAGCCGTCAGGGGAGAGGAGAGCACGTGGTGCTGTTCCTTAATTCTCGCCACGCACCTCTCAAAATCTCGGGATTAGCCACGCTGGCAAAAGAGTACATTTTAAGAGCATTTTCCAAAAAAGAAAAGGATAACAATAAACTAAGTTCATATATGTGTCAAACTATTTTATGGCCTTGAATATAACCTTTTCAGAGAACACGTATATTTATACCTTTGTAGTATTATTTATAGGGGCTGCAGTAGCTCAGAGGTTAAGGCGCTGAGCTGCAGACCAGAAGGTCGGCAGTTCGAGACCTGAGTGCCGTGTGATGGAGTGAGTTCCCGTCTCTGGTCCCAGCTCCTGCCAACCTAGCAGTTCGAAAGCAAGAAACTGCAAGTAGTTAAATAGGTGCCACTTTGGTGGGAAGGTAACAGCATTCCATGCACCTCGGTGTTTAGTCATGCCGGCCACATGACCATGGAGAAGTCTTCGGAAGCGCCGGCTCTTCAGCTTGGAAACGGAGATGAGCACCACCCCCTAGAGTCGGATTCGACTGGCTTTCGAGCAAGGGAAACCTTTACCTCTTTAGTATTATAACAACCTCAATTATATTAGTGCAGTTATATTAGCGCCTAAGGTATCATTACCCTGATGGAAAAATTAAAAAAAATCATGGTAACTTTAAGACGAGTCACTCATTTTACTCTGGAAGGACTCCGAGGTGCACGATCCTGGACAGCGTGGGAGTAAGCGATGTGCTGCCCCTGCAGGTGACTCCACCAGAGGTGAGCACCTCGAAGAAGGTGCTGAAGCGCCCGCCCGTCTTGGAGGACTACATCAACGTGACCTCAACTGACGGCACCCGGGTCTTCATGGCCATGAAGGAGGATTGCTCCTGGGCAGGAACGCAGGTAGCGTCCGGGGCAGGGCAGATGCTCAGCTCTCCAAAAGCTTGCTGGGGCGTCTCTGTTGGAGAGCTCTTATGACCTGGCCAGGCTGAAGGAGCCCTGGTATTTGGACACCGGCATCTAAAAACTGGATTTTCTTTCCCGGTTTCTGCAGCGCTGCGATTCTCTTGGGTGGAACAGACAACGCCCTCTTTATCTACTCGGGGTCCCTTTCTCCTACCTCAAGGAACAGGTGGCTGAAGAGGTACGTCTCTCTCCCCTTCCCTGCTTGGTCTCTGGACCTCTCTCTGAAACAGTCTTTTCCTTTTGGTGTAGTGGTTAAGTGCGCAGATTCTTCAGTTTGGTGTAGTGGTTAAGTGTGCGGACTCTAATCTGGGAGAACGGGGTTTGATTCCCCACTCCTCCACATGTACCTGCTGGATGACCTTGGGCAAGCCATAGTTCTGATAAGAGCTGTTCTTGAAAAAGAGCAGTTTCTGTCCGAGCTCTCTCAGCCCCACCTACCTCACAGGGTGTCTGTTGTGGGGAAGGAAAGGGTAAGAAGTTTGTAAGCCACTCTGAGACTCCTTTGGGTAGTGAAGGGCGGGGTATAAATCCAATCTCCTCCTCCTCTCCTCCTCTTTTGGTCCCATCTGACCTTTTGAATCACGCAATCCATGCTTGTCCCCAGCTTGAGTGTTTCCTGAGAGGGAGGGGGCCGTGGCTCAGTGGCACAGCATCTGCTTAGCATGCAGAAGGTCCCAGGTTCAGTCCCCGGCAGCATCTCCAGTTGAAAGGACCAGGCAGGAGGTGGTGGGAAAGACCTCTGCCTGAGACCCTGGAGGGCTGTCAAAAGGGGCTGTGGCTCAGTGGCAGAGCCTCTGCTTTGCAGGCAGAAGGTCCCAGGTTCAGTCCCCAGCACCTCCAGTTAAAAAGAACCAGGCAGGAGGGGATGGGAAAAACCTCTGCCTGAGACTCCGGAGAGCTGTAAAGAGCTCAGTGGCAGAGCCTCTGCTTGGCAGGCAGAAGGTCCCCAGGTTCAATCCCCAGCAGCATCTCCAGTTAAAAAGGACCAGGCAGGAGGTGATAGGAAAGATCCTGGAGAGCTGTCAAGGGGGCTGTGGCTCAGTGGCAGAGCCTCTGCTTGGCAGGCAGAAGGTCCCCAGGTTCAATCCCCAGCAGCATCTCCAGTTAAAAAGGACCAGGCAGGAGGTGATGGGAAAGACCTCTGCCTGAGACCCTGGAGAGCAGCTGCCTGCCTGACAATACTGACCTTGATCCAGGGGTCTGATTCAGTATAAGGCAGGTTCGTGTGGGTTCGTATGAGGGGGAATGCATAGATGAGGGGTGGAGGGGTAACAGTGGGTTATCGATCCACACTCAGTCTCTCTCCTCCCTTTCAACTAGGCAGCATTTGAGGGGGACAGAGAAGGCGGTTTTGCCGAGGATGCTCAAAATGGAACACCAGAGAGGGGTGTGAGAGAGAGACAGGGTGTGAGGGTTGACTCACCTGTGTCTTTTTTGAGGATCTTTGCTCTGCTCTGTTTTTACATTCCAGCACCGGAGGCAGATCCGTGAAACTTCGCGACGGCTGACGGAGATTCTGGACAGGTGGGCCCCGTAAACTTCTTGCTGTTGGGGAAGGGCTTCTGGGCGTTCCTTCCTTCCCCCTAGCCCAGTGGGAGCCAGCGTGGGCGAACCCTGACCCGCAGGGGCTGCCGGCTGGTCCTCTGATCCAGAGCAAGCTGGTGGGTATGCCGTGATTCCACGAGAGCACGGAAGACTGGCAGGATTCTGGGAATCCACCAGGTAACGTGTGACTGTTCTCTTGAGGGGCTTTTGAGTCTCTCTGCCACAAGCAACCCTCCCTCTAAGCTGTGGAGTCTTCTGAGCGAAAATTCGACTTTGTGAGCTCCTGGCATGAAAGTTGTGAGCGAGCGATTTGGCTGCGGCGCAAATTAGTTTGCTCTGGAGCCCTCCTTCTTGAGCCAGGACAAAAATGGGTGAGCCGGAGGCTAACAAAACTGAGCTGGCTCACACTTTTTGGTGTAGTGGTTAAGTGCACGGACTCTAATCTGAGAGAACTGGGTTTGATTCCCCACTCCTCCACTTGCACCTGCTGATGTGACCTTGGGTCAGTCACAAGCTCTGGCACAGCTGTCCTTGAGAAAGAGCAGTTTGTGTCAGAGTTCTCTCGGCCCCACCTACCTCACAGGGTGTCTGTTGTGGGGAGGGGAAGGGAAAGGAGTTTGTAAGCCGCTCTGAGACTCCAAGTGAAGGGCGGGGTATAAATCCAATCTCTTCTCTTCTTCTTCTTCTGGATGACCTTGGGCAAGCCATAGTTCTGTCAGAAGTGTTCTTGAAAAAGAGCAGTTTGTGTCAGAGTTCTCTCAGCCCCACCCACCTCACAGGGTGTCTGTTGTGGGGAGGGGAAGGGAAAGGAGTTTGTAAGCCGCTCTGAGACTCCAAGTGAAGGGTGGGGTATAAATCCAATCTCTTCTCTTCTTCTTCTCAGCCTTAGAGGGAACATTGGCCACAAGCACTCTGCAAAAGGTGCTGTGAGACCCTCATCCAGTGCAAAACCGACCCTTTGACCAGGGAGCAGCAGTGAGCGAGCTGAAAACGTCTCTCTCTTTTTGCAGCTGTCTTCAAGATGAGCCGACCGAAACGGAGGCCGCAGAGCCCGGGGAAGAAGGCGGTGGCGACACCGCGCGGGAAGAGGACAAATCGTCTGCGGGGTCCCTGTGGGTCGACCGCTTCACGCCCAAGCACTACGTGGAATTGCTCAGCGACGATGTGAGAACTTAGGAAAAACTTTTTGACAGTCAGAGTTGTGCAGCAGTGGAATCAGCTGCCTCGGGAGGTGGTGAGCTCCCTCTCCCTGGCAGTCTGTAAGCAGCGGCTGGACAAAGAGACAGTTTGCATAGTGGTTAGGAGCACAGACTCTAATCTGGGAGAACCGGGTTCGATTCCCCACTCCTGCACATGCAGCTGCTGGTGTGACCTTGGGTCAGTCACAAGTTCTTCCAGGGCTGTTCTCTTAAGGGCAGTTTCTGTCAGGGCTCTCTCAGCCCCACCTGCCTCACAGGGTGTCTGTTGTGGGGAGGGGAGGGAGATTGTAAGCCACCCTGAGACTCCTTCAGGTAGTGAAGGATAAGGTATAAAGTCAATCTCTTCTTCTTCTTCTCTAGAAGAGAAGAAGAGATTGGATTTATACCCTGCCCTTCACTACCCAAAGGTGTCTCAGAGCGGCTTACAAACTCCTCCCCCTCCCCACAACAGACACCCTGTGAGGCAGGTGGGGCTGAGAGAGCTCTTGACAGAAACTGCTCTTTTTCAAAAACAGCTCTTGTCAGAACTACGGCTTGCCCAAGGTCACATCAGCAGGTGCAAGTGGAGGAGTGGGGAATCAAACCCGGTGCTCCCAGATTAGAGTCCACGCACTTAACCACTACACCAAACTGGCTCTCTCTAGGCTGGCCCTGCATTGAGCTGGGGGTGGGACTCAATGGCCTGTATGGCCCCTTCCAACTCTTATGATTCTATGAACCTCTGGTCAGCGGCCACTTCTGTGGACAGCCAGCCATTGCTTTCTACAAGGGCAGAAATAGTAACCGAGGGTCAAGAATCTCTGTTCCTTTTCCTCTTTCATGTTCCTGGTCCCCGTGGCCGCAGAAATAAGCAGAGTGTTGAGTGTTTCCGGTGAGACCGGAAGGCCTGGAAAAAAAACAGAAAAATTCGGGGGGGGGGACCGTTTCCCCCCCGTTTTTTTCCTGAAGCTTTTTTGGTTTTTTCCGAAAAATTGGAAAAATTGAAAAAAGAAAAAAAGGGGGGGAAAAATGATTATAGAACATTTTATTTTAACATGATGAATAAAATATTTTAAGACAAGGTGTTCAAATATTTTCCGAATCATTTCTATTATATATATATATA